CTACCTCCCTGCCTTTATTCCCACTCACTTTAGCTTTGACATGAATAGATGAGCTTTTTCAGTCTTGCAAAGCATGTGACCGTCAGACTCTGCATCAGCTTGGATTGCTGGCTACAGACTATCTCTCTTAGCAAAGCTGTAAATACATAAGCTCAGAGGTCATGTTGCCTGGATTCAAGTCATAGCTCTAACCCTGTCTAGCTTTGTGATCTTGGGCAAATTCTTTCGTGCCTCAGTTCCTCAGATGTAAAATGAGGAATAACAATGGTACTATTGTTATTGTGAAGATTAAATGAGTTAATATGCATAAAGCACTGAGAGCCTGGAACACGGATAAGTGCCTCAGAAAGACCCACTGTGTTGGGTCTTCATTGCTGTGTGCGGGCTTTCTCTAGTTGCGGCTAGTGGGGGCTACTCTTCGTTGCAGAGCGTGGGCTTCTCATTGTAGCGGCTTCCCCTTGCGGAGCAGAGGCTCTAGGCGTGCAGGCTTCAGTAGTTGCGGTGCACGGGCTCAGTAGTTGTGGCTCGCAGGCTCAGTAGTTGTGGTGCCAGGGCTTAGTTGCTCCGTGGCATGTGGGATCTTCCCAGACAGGGGATCGAACCCATGTCCCCTGCATTGGCAGGTGGATTCTTAACCACCGTACCACCCGGGAAGTCCCTGTTTCTTTTTCAAGATTGTTTTGGCTTATTCTGAGTCTTTTGCACTTCCATATGAATTTTATGATCAGCTTGTCAATTTCTGCCAAAAAAAAAAAAAGACAGCTTGGATTTTGGGGAGAATTGCCATCCTAACAATATTAAGGCTTACAATCCATGAACACAGGATGTCTTTCCATTTAGTTATGTCTTCTTAAATTTCTTTTATGTTACTGATTTTAAGCAGAAGAGTGATGTGATCTGATTTATACTTTAGGAAGATTACTCAGTAGTATGAAAAACCAATTGGGGGAAAGAGATGCTGCATGAACAAGGACAATAGTCGCAGAGACAGAGGAAGCACTAGTTACAGGAATATCTATGATGTAAATCGGCAGGACTTGACGATTGACTTTATGTAGAAAGAGAGGAAAGAGGAAAGAATGACTCCCAGGTTTTTGGCTTGGGTACCTCATGATGCCAACCCACTGAGATAGAAAATACACAAGAAGCAGTAGGGGGTAAAAGTTGGTACATGTTGAGCTTGAGGTGACTGGACACCCAGGTGGAGAGGTAAGATCATTGGATATTTAAGTCTGATCCTCAGGGGAGCTGTCTAGTCTGGGAGAATCATCATATGAAAGGGGGACCATGAGACTACATGAATTAACCAATAAAGGAACCCATAAAGGAACCAATAAAGGGACCCATAAAGGAAGCAGCAAGGATACAGAGGAATACCAGTATTTAAAGGTTGAGCTGTTGACAAAAAGTCTACAATGGAGACTGAGAAGGAACAGCCAGAGGCAGGAGGAAAACCGGGAAGGAGGTGTGTTACGGGAGTACGGAGAGAGTGGCTGATAATAATAAGTTAGGAACTGAAATGCTTCATTGGATTCAGTGTGGTCAGAAGTCACTGGTGACCTAGAAGAGGGCTCTTCCAGCGGAGGGCTGAACCGCACTGCTGTGGAGTGTGGAGGGGGTGGTAGTTGAGAAGATGGAAACAGCATGTAAAGATAACTCATTTCAGAAGTTTGGAGGGGAAGGGAAGGGAAGTACAAAAGCAGTAAGTAGAAATGTAAAGGGAGCCAAGGGAAGGTGTGTTTTTTTGGGATAGAAGAGACTTGGGTATGTTTATTGGCTGACGGGAAAGACTTGGCAGAAAGGAAGAGGGTGAGGAATGAAGTGTGGTCCATGTGGAGCTGTAGGAGTGACTGGGAGAGAGAGCAAGGTGAGTGGATTTAGAACAGTGCTTTCCAAATTTTAACATGCATACTAATCACATATCTCAAATCTCCCCTCTTCTTTCCATCTTCATAGCCACCATCCTGGTCCAAGTCCCCTACATTTCTCATTTCTCTCCTGGACAAGTGAGCTGGCCTTCAGATGCTCCACCTTGTGATGTAGGCTTGGTGGTAAAGAAGCCAGGAGGGGGTTAACTGAACAGAAGAAAGGAGAATGGGCTGGCGGCCTCTGGGAAGTCAGAGGATGAGGCCATGGGAGTCAAAAGACCAGCATGGTGCAAGAGAAGTCTTTGTGGGATGCTCAGGGGTGGGATTTCAGAGGGGACCGTTCAAGGCATGAACCCGGACAGGATGGCTGGGGTCATGATGAAGGTCACTGAGAAGGTCAAGGAAGAGTATTGGAGGGTCCTTCACATGGATGAGCAGGACAATTTGGAATGACTGCCTCACCAAAATCTGGAAACCCAAGTCCTTGATAGATGGAAGGGGATGGCAGAGAGGGCAACAGATCAAGGTGATGAGAAGGGGTGGCAGCGTAAGGCCGGGAGTCAAGAGTCTCAGAGGAGAAAATTACATACGCACATAGGAAAAAACCCTCCAAAATGTGAATGCTGATTATCCGTGGGGATAGGGAGGATTATGAGTAGTTCTGATTTCTTCTCTATACTTAAGAAAGAAAGAAATGTAAAAGATAGAAAATATACAAAGAATAACAAACTCCCCATTCACACCATGTAGAATTTGTCATTGTAAATATGCCTAAGTCCCCTTCAACCACCTCCTCCTCTCAGCATGATCACTTGGCCTTTCGTTTTATGTATGTGTATGGAAAGACACAAAATTGAATATGGTAGGGTCCGTGTGTGATTGTTCTACTTAGAGGGAGGAAGTATTCTAATAGTCAGGGAGGAAAAAGCCTTTCTCAGGTGAAGAGGACTTGCACAAAGACTGGAAGCCTGAACCTCCTTCCCAGCTGAGCAGCCCGGCGGGGAGGCCATGCCCTGGGAAGACCCAGAGTCCGATTTAAGTGTACTGGACCACACCTGGTTGTTAAGTGTTCCAGGAAGAGAGAGAATTTCTATTTGTATTTCTCTGGCTAGGTTTCAACCAACTCTCACATCTCTCAAGTCTTTTTATGGCTCAGAAATCTGGGAAGGCGATCACTATCTCCATTTGACAGATGGGGAAACTGAGGTCTGGGGAAGGGCTGTGAGCTGCCAGGGTGTCACAGTGAGTTAGTAGAGCACAAGGAGCTAGTGCTGTAGCCTGGGGTTCTTTCCAGAACCCCAGAACCCTAGCCAGTGTGCAGAAGGGTGAGGCGCAGGCAAGGGACACTGGACAACCCAGAAGAATGGACTTTGGTCACTTGGCAATAAGCAAAGAGAAATGGCAATAACTTCAGGGCGCTTAGGCTGGGCCATGGCCGGGAAACTGTGTCAGAAGAGAAACAGGTGGGCCATTCCCTCCTCAGAGGCCCCAGAGAGTAGGCCCACTCCCTGAAGACTATGGCTCCCCTGTCGCCCACCACACTCAGGAGCAGCCTTCACAGTTAAACAGATCTGGATTCAAGTCTCAGCTCTACCAATGATACATGCTGTGTGCTCTTTGAAAAGCTCCTTTACCTTTCTGGGCCTCCATTTTCTCATCTGTAAAATGGGGTAATAATCTTTAACTCTCAGTATTGTTCTAAAGATAGAAAGAGAGAACCCTCATTTATTCATCTGAAAGCAAAGACATTTAAAAGGTCTGGGTTCCCAGCCTAATTCCAGACTGCCCTGGTTGGGGTCAGTGTCAAGGGGACAGCCTGACACTGACAGAGAAGCCACGTGCACGCACATGCATGAGATTTGACATTGGCTTTGCAGTGACCACACGTGCTCTCCAGGGCAGCCCTTGGGAGGTGGACTTGGTCATCAGTAAGTTGTGTGCCCCACACACAAGGCACACGCATTCAGTGGACAGCTGGTGTTAGATGCATCAAGCCAGCCCCTACCCTCAAGGCCACTGACCAGTGGGGTAGGGGGTGCAGACTGTGAATTGATGCTGCCCAGATACCACGGAAGTGCCTCCCAGAGTCCTGCCTGAGGGCCAAGAGCCCAGGCTGGCAGCCACAACACGGCCACATTAGAGAAAGGGCCCTGAGACCCATACTCCACCCCTTCCGCTGGACACTCTTGTGTGAGTCCATTTCTACATGTTGAGGATGAAACAAAGGGTCATTCTGGCACATTAAAGGGGCACAGTAACCAATAGCCAGGAATAGTAAAGCTCTTGTTACATGCTCCTGCTAAGTCTGCACTTTGCAAAGATACTCTAGAGGGTTTTCAAAGCATTTTCTTACCTCATTTTTGTATCTCACCATGACTTTAGGGGACAGGAATTATTATCCCTGATTTTCTGAGAAGGGAACAGAGACACCCCCCATCCCCACCCCCACAAGTAAAGCACCTTGCTCAGCCTGCGGCCGAAGACCCTCAGGCCACGGCAGGGAGGAAACCTGAGGTCAAGGCGCAGGTCAAGGACAGAGCCTGGCTCCCTAGGTAGTGCTCTTTCACCACCCACTGTTGCACTTCCCCATTCTCTAGAAAGAAGTGGATTCCCAGCTCTCACCCCGGGGCTTTCCTGTCCAGCTGCCCACCAGGTCGTGACAACCACGCATCAGGCCCCCCGTCTCACTCCCTAGCCCGGAAGATCGCAGCTCCTCTAGGCCTCAGTTTCTATCTGTAAAATGGGCATCACTGGAGCGGGGTGGGCTGCGGGGGGTTGCTGGCCGGGTGCCGGCCGGCATCGAGGCGGGTGGGTGAGGCCAGCGCTGTGACTCAGCCGGGCGGGCCAGGAAGGGCTGCCCAGCCGGTCGGACCGGCCCGGGATGCAAACGAGCCGCCGGGGCCCTCACGGGGCCGGGCCGCCCAGGGGGTGACGGGAAGGGAGGCCGGCCGGGCGCTCCGGGCTCGAGGCGGGAAGTGGGCGCGGCGCGGGCTCTGCTGGGCGCTCGGCGGCTGCGGACCAGTATGGGAGTGGGGCCGACCGGCCGCCCGCAGCGTCTGGAGCCCCGCTGAAGCCGCCGCGGAGACCCCGCCCGGGAGCCGAGATGTGTCTGCGCCTGGGTGAGCCGCGGGGGGACGGCCCGGGAGGCCCGAACCCGCCCCAGATCCTCTGGCAGGGGCGGAGCACTGTCGTGGGCGCCCGGAACCCCGGGGTCCAGGCCGCCTTCACTTTCTGCTCTGGGCCTCAGTTTCCTCAGCACTGAGCTGGCGAGAGGAGGGCTTCTGGTATCTTCCGATGTGGGGTAGCACCTCTCGCCTCTCGCCCGCCCCCACTGCCCCCCACTCTCCTTTCTTGCGGAGGAGGGACCCCCAGGTGGGAGGAGAGCAGCCAACCTCCACATCCCGCAGAAGGGAGAGCACAGGGAGGGCATTGCGAACCAGAGGCTGCCTGCCCTCGGCTTCCTCAGCCTCCCAAAGGGCTCCGGCTCCCATACCCTCCACTCCCCCAAACCGAGCCAGGTGAGAAGGGCCACTGGCAAACATGATCCAGACAGAGGAGTGGGACTGATGTGCCCCTTCCTCTCACTCCCTGGACACAATGATGCTGCTCTTGGGCATCAGACAGACCTGGGGAGTCCCTACCCTCTAGCCAAGAGAACTTGTGAGCCTCGGTTTCCTCATCTGTAAAGTGGCGAGGGAGCACCACGGCCTAGAACCATCCTGAGCCAGGGACTGCTCTGAGACTCTGTCCAGTGCTCCAGGCACAGCCCCACGCTGCCACTGTACCTCCAGTTTGACCAAAGTCTTGGTCCTGGGAGGCTGTTGTTCATGAGCCCAGCCCTGAGCCGAGTGGTGTCTGGGTGGCCAGGTAGGTGGGTGGATGGGGTGAAGTGGGTCAGGCCCGTGGGACAAAGCTGCCATGCCCCTTCCTGTTTGGCCAGCTGTTAATCTTCATGATGCCATCCAGTCCCACGGTGCCTGTCCAGCCCATCGTCTGCCCTCTGCTTCTCCTCCATCTGGTACAGCTCCAGAGACTCCTGAAGGCTCCGAGGATCTCAGAGACCGGCTAGACCAACCCCTTCCCATTTTACATATGGGGAAGCCAGGGCCCAAAAAGGAGAGAGGCTGGTGCAAAGTCGCACAGAGGGTCTGTGTGACTGAGTAGCCCCAGCCCTCTCTGCTCCCGGGGGCTTCCTCTGGGCGCAGCGCCCCCAGGGACATCCAGTCTAGGGATTCCTTCCTTTCTCTCTCTCTTTCTCTCTGGCTGCAAAACTCCCATATATGAAATATGACCCAATCCTTGCTGCCACAGATGGGGACACTGAGGTCTAGGAAAGGACTCACAGGTCCCACAAGGAGCAGCTAAAGGAAGAAGGGGGGGCTGTTTAGTTCTAGGCGCCAGGCCAGTCTTCCAGTCTCACAGAGCTGGATAGAGTGAGGGGGCTGGTGGGCCTAAGGGGCCAGCATGGTGCAGAGCCAGGACCCAAAGGGGACATTCCAAAGAGCAGATCTGGAACAGCCGGAAGGAGGGCTCCTGATCCTGGGGGTGTGCAGATAGGGACCGAGTAGCCACTTGGACACTCGGAGAGGATTTGCATATGAGTCCCTGATGTTCTTTTGACCTCAGCCTCCCGCACCTTGCCGTGGCCCTGCCTAGTGGCCCTGCACCAAGAGCTCACTTTTCCCAGCACCCCCCGGGTATGCCCCACTTTCCCATCCATGTCCTCATGAGACCCTCCTTCCCCACTGGGAAACAAGGGTTATTCTTCCCATTTTACAGATGGGGAAATGAAGACTCAGAAGTTTGAGTATTTTGCTGGAGTCAGTTCAGCAATTGTGAATTGAGTATCTACTGTGTGCCAGGCCCTTTACACCAAACTGAATCCTAAATAGAACCTGATCCCTGCCCAGTGAACTAGGGGCTCCTTGGGGCCTGGGCAGTGCCCATCAAGCTCTCTGTGGTACCTCAGGGCCTGGCATGGAGCAGGCACTCAGTGAACATTGATGTAACAAATGTATGGATGAAAAAAATCAGTGGATGCAAAGCTTAGTGGAAGGATCATGGGTCTAGAGCTAGAGACCTGGGTTCAAATCCTAACTGTGCCACGCATGACCTTGAACACTAACAAGGACTACTACCCTTTATTAAGTACCACCTGTATGCTTTTCCAACCTTAGAGATCCAAGGACTCTCATGAAAGCACTGTGAACCCCTTTTCCTGATGAGGAAACTGAGGCACAGAGAAGGCAAGTTACTGGCCTTGAGTTATCCAGAAATAGATTTAGAACCCAATGTCCATCACTCCTGCCTCAGTTTTCTCCTCTGCCCAGCAGGATAAGCCCTACCCATGGCCCTGACATGGCTGTCCCTCACAGGTGGCCTGAGTGTGGGTGACTTCCGGAAGGTGCTGATGAAGACGGGGCTGGTGCTGGTGGTGCTGGGCCACGTGAGCTTCATCGCAGCCGCTCTCCTCCACGGCACGGTGCTGCGCTATGTGGCAGCCCCCAACGATGCTGTGGCTCTGCATTACTCTGTGGTCAACATCCTCTCTGTCACTTCCGCCATCGTGGTATGGCCAGGCTGGGAGGGTGGCTGGCAAGAGGGGGCTGGAAGGGGCTGGAAGGGTCTTCGATGAGTCCCCACCCACAGCCTGGGGTGGGCAGGCAGAGAGCCCCAAGTACTAACCCCTGTTCCGCCACTTACCAACGGCACCAGTCACCCAACCTCCCTTTGCCTCAGCTTCCTCATCTATAAAATGGGGACGGTAACAGTGTCCATCTGAGAAGATCCTGATGATTACTGAATGAGATCATCCACATAAAGTGCTGAGCACAGTGCCTAGCACGTGGTTAACTCACTATTGTGAGCTTGGATTATCATTACAATAGGGAAATAGTCAAGGCACTGTTGGCCAGAAGGAAGGAGCATCAGCTCAGCTTGGGAGGGTTCACAGAGGTGGAGGCCCCAGAGGTGGATATTGATGGATGAATAGGAGTTCAAAGATAGGCTGCAATTACCATAACCTGGGTATGAAGCCTGCTGGGGCCAGCTGGTAGGAGAGGAAGCTGGGATGGCTTTCAAGTACGGAGAATGGCAAATGCAAAGGTGTGGAGGTGGGAATGGATAAGGTCTGCTCTGGAGACACTGAAAAAACCAATTTGGGGGCTTCCCTGGTGGCGCAGTAGTTGAGAGTCCACCTGCCGATGCAGGGGACACGGGTTCGTGCCCCGGTCCGGGAAGATCCCACATGCCGTGGAGCGGCTGGGCCCGTGAGCCATGGACGCTGAGCCTGCGTGTCCGGAGCCTGTGCTCCGCAGTGGGAGAGGCCACAACAGTGAGAGGCCCGTGTACCACACACACACACACAAAAAACAATTTGGCAGGAGTTTAGCATTAGGCCCGGACTATAAGTGCTCAATAAATGGTAGACATGGTTATGGCTGGATGTCAGTACCTGTTTGATGAATACATGAAGAAGGGGCCTGGTATTCTCAAGTTTGTAAAGCCCTTTCCCAACTGTCAGAAGAGGTGGCTACAGCCTTTGGGGAACATCTGCACATCAGTGTCTGAGTTCCATCCCTGCCACCGCCTAGCTGAGGGATTTCTTTCTCTCTCTAAGCCTGTTCCCTCCCCTGCAAAATGAAGCTCAGACAGCCTGCTGGCCCTAAAGCAAGGATCATGGGCCCCGGCAAGCAGGAGAGCCTCAGTCAGTGGGACAGAGCTCGGCTGTACAGATATGTGCAGTGTCCCTTGGGGTTACTATTATTGTTGTTTATTCGTCTCACCAACCTTGTGAGGAAGGCAGGCAAGGCAGTGAGCTCAGGGTTAGGAGGTCCACCACGGATGGGCTCTGGGCTGGACCACTTCAGCTGTGCTCTTATTTCCTCAGTTAATCCCCACAGCTCCCTGCAACACGGGACCATGATTTTCCCCACTTTACAGAGGGGGAAGCTGACTCAGGGATTCACCCAACCTCTTGCTGATACAAAGAAGCCAACCTGGATGTGAAACAATCTGTGGCTGACACCAAAGCCAGTGTCCTTTCCCTGAGCTCATTCCTGCTGAGCGGGCTTAGCCCAGAGAGTTTGAGGCACTTAACTAGTGGCTGCACAGTGAATTACAGACGTTGCTGGGCCCCCTATCATCTCACCTGCCTCCCGCGGGTCCAGCCCGTGCCTGGTAAAGTGAGGGAACTGAAGGAGGGAGCCCATCTGAGTGGAACCCAGAAGATCCAGAGGGCAGCTGGTGGGCTTAACAGTGAGGTGGGCCCGCCTCTTGGGGCTGGGGGTGGTTAGGGGGGCCTGCAGGAGGGAGAACCCACGCAGGTAAAGAGGAACAGGAAAGGCCTTCCTGAGAAGGCGCTGTGTAGGCGGCATCAAGCCCAGGCTCTGTGTGGGTGTCTGTATCCAGGGCGATGAGGAAAGAGCCTGGCCCAGGGTGGAGTTGAGAAACTGATGGGACAGGGGCCAGGTCACTGAGAGCCTGCGATAGTTAAAAATACTCCTAGGGATTTTGAATTCTACGCCATAAAGTATCCTGGTTTATTTTAAAGTAACAATTTTGTTTTTAGTTCCTTGCCAGTTGAGTTACTGAGTTTCTTCCAAAATCTTTTCCACTCCAGGGAAACATGTCATATATATCCTGTGACATGGCTCTGTGGCCCTGGGATACACAGGTCCCTGCTTGAGAAATGCAGCTGTAGGCAGTGGGGAGTCATGGAAGGTTGTAGGCAGGGAGTGACTGTGTTTTAGAAACGTCACTTCAGGGCTGGACCATGAAGAGGCAGTGTCCCCATGCAGATGGAGGTAATGAAACCCAAGCTAAGCAGGGGGTGTGGGTTTGGAGGGCTAGAGTTGGTGTTGGTGGAATCTTTGCTGGAGAGTGGCCCTGACCCCCTGCCCACTCTCCTCCAGTAGGGGGTCAGAGCTGACTTGAGCCTCCTCCACAGGTCATCACCTCAGGCATTGCAGTCATCGTGTTATCACGCTACCTCCCCAGCATCCCTCTGGTATGTGGTACCTCCTGGGATGGGGCTGTGCGGATAGGGGCAGCAGCCACCCCCAAAGGCCTGGCCTGCTTGGAGGGGGTGAGGCTGACCCCATGGGGGCCAGAGCTGCCCATGGGGCCAAGCCTGATGTCCACTGACCAGTGGCCTCCTCCATCCAGCGCTGGACGGTGTTTAGCTCGAGTGTGGCCTGTGCTCTTCTCTCTCTGACCTGTGCTCTCGGCCTCTTGGCCTCGATTGCTGTGACCTTTGCCACCCAGGGCCAGGCACTGCTGGCCGCCTGTACTTTTGGGGACCCCGAACTACTGGCACTGGCGCCCGACTGTCCCTTCGACCCCACTCGCATTTACGTAAGTGCTTAGGCCTGGGATGGGGTGGGAGGGCAGCGAGGTGCTCATCAGAGGTGGGAAGCGTTCTTGGAATCCTGCCCTCCACTCCCCAACCCCAGGCAGCCATCACTGCCCCCTGTCCCCCTACAGAGCTCCAGCCTGTGTCTCTGGGGCATCTCGTTACTGTTCTGCATGGCAGAGAGTGTGTTTGCTGTCCGCAGCGCCCAGATCACCCACCAGTTGCTGGAACTGAGGCCCTGGTTGGGGAAGAGCAGCCATCACATGGTAAGGCCTGCCACTCCCCCAAGCCCTGACTCTTCATACTTCCTGGGAGCCCCTGCTGGGGAGCTCAGGCTGATCTGTCCCCACCCCTCTGTAAAGGGCCCCCACCTTGAAACCTGGGGCAATAGTGTTCTCCCCAGGACCAAAAGGAGAGACTTGGAGGCTCAGAGAACTCAGATCTCCCAGCTAAGTCATACAGCTGACACTTGGCTCTCCCAAGGCCCAGGATGAGTCTTGGGGAGGGGGAGAGGTATCTGGGCTGGAATTGGGGGCACTCCAAGGGTATGGCCTGACTCTTGCTTAGTGGAGAGTAATGATGTCCCTTCACCCAAAGATCACCCCAGCCCCCGACTCCTCCCACTTTCTGGATGTCCTGGAGGAGAAGACCCAGACCCAGTGGGCTGGCAGCCTCTGACATCTCCACAGATGTGGGAGAGCCCAGAGCCTGTGGAGGACCACGACCTGCAGAGCTGCACTAGCTCTGGGCTGATGACCCTTTGACAGCTGTTGCCTCACCCAAGCCCCGTGGCCACTGGGGCCCTCCAGCCAAGTCTGCACCGTGATCAGGCCAGGATTCCTGGAGCCAGCCAAGAGGGCTCAATGCCACTCCAGGACCCGGGTGGGTCTTTCACCCCTCTCCTCCAGCCACCCAGCCCGCTGCACTGAAACGAGACTTTATTCTGAAGATATTAAAAAGAACAGAGATGCTCCACGTGGATGCATGCAGCGGGGGAGGGGACTCGGCCGGGGGCCTGTGCTGCTCTCCCACACAGGACACTGTGGGTGGCGCTCTAGGTGTGTCTGCCCATCTGTCTGTGGGCCTGTGTGTGTATCTGAGAGAGACAAGACACACAGAGGGGTCCGTGGGTCTGTGTTCATCAAAATGCTGAAACGCAGGCGGGGGTTCATGGGACTCACAGCTGGGGGGCTGGAAGCAGGAGGTTTTCCTTTTGCATCATGGCCTCCGGGACAACAAGGGCAGGAACAGGCAAGGTTGAGGCCCTCCTGCAGGGAAGGATGGCTCAAGGAAGGTTTCTCCTCAAGCCCCCAAACCTCTGGAATCCTTCTCTCCGCTCCAAATAAAAAGACAGGCATGATTCCCAACTCCACCAAGGCTGAGATCTACAAGGGTTGGGGTGGAGGCAGGGAAGCTTGCCCCGTGGTTGGCGGAGGGAAGTCTGGCCTCGTGGCTGGGTGTGTGCGGGGGTGGGGGAGGGGGAATGGCTGACGTTCTGATAGCTAGGTAAGGGAGGGCTGACTGAGAGGCAGACCAAGCCAGAGCCTGTGTCTTTATCATTGCCGAAGGGAGATATTGCCTCCCGGATGGGGGGTGTCAACGACTTGCTGGCTTGGGCCTTGGGGGGGGGGGGCTGCAGGGTTCCTTTCTCCATAGGCCCCTCAGAGTGCAGACCCTGGGGGTGGCAATCTGACCCCCAGCCTGGACAGACACAAGGGCGAGGAAGCTGAGAGCCGGGAGAGGGCCAGTGAAGGCAGGGAGGGGAAACCTGGCTCCTCGCTCAGAACTGGGAGGCGCTGCTGGGGTCGCACTGCAGCAGACGCACGATGGACGGGTCGCTTTTGGCCCCGCGGATGAACTCCTCCAAGGACAGCTTGCCTGCGGGGTGAGGGGAACAGTGACGGAGGAGAAGACGGCAGCAAAGCGAGGGGGCTGCAGAACCGAGCCGCGGGAGAGGGAGGGGGAGTAGCTCCCGCCCCGTCCCGCCCTGTCCCGCCCCGCCCCTGCCTCCTCACCGTCGTTGTTTGTGTCCATTTGGCGGAAGATCTTCTCAGTCCTCTTTTCCGGGGTCGACTCGTCCTCCGGCATCTTCATCACGGACGAAACCATCTTGTAAATGGCCTGGGGGGCGGGTGGGGAGGAAGTGAGGGGGAGCCTGCCTGATCCCTCCACCCCCAACTTTCCAAAAACGCCCCCAGGTGCGCTGACGATCGCCGCTCCCGCCAAGGTGAGGCGGAGAGGGGGTGACGGAGGAATGGGGGAACTGGGAAGTTCTGAGACTGAGAAGGTTTCCAGAAGAGGGGGCTATTGGAGAGAGCCCTGAACAAGTTCCCTTGGAGCGCTCGGTGGGAAAGGAATTGCAGGCAGAAGGATCTGCATGTACAAAGGCCCCAGAGCGGGCAGCCCTGAGTGGACGCCGAGAACTTAGGGATGGCTGAATGCAGGGGGTCAGAAGAGATGTTGGAGGACATCGGGGCCCAGAGGGAGAAGGGCCTGAAACGCCCGGCCAAGGAGCTTGTGCCGGACGCCCCAGGTTCCCAGTTAAGTCCCAGGTTGAAAGAGCTGCTTCTCAGAAACTTCGGGGCTCCGGGCGGCCCGCCCTCGATGACCGACAGGGGACGCTGGGCGAAGGGGATGACACTGGGCTGCGATGCTACTGTGGCCGGCAGGAGGCGTAGAGCTGCCCTGAGAGCTGGAGGGACTGAGGCAGCTGGGTCCACAGGGGGCGGGGGATATTATGCAAATAAACGCACGTGAGTACCTGCCCGGGGCGAGGACAGCCTCGGCTGTGCTGGGCCGAGGACGGCTGCTGCCAGATGCAAGAGCTTCGGAGGCGACTCGAAGGAGGGTTTTTGCGCTAAGCGTACACAGAGCACAAAGGACTTGGCCTGTGGGCTGGGTTCCGGCGCCCCGGAGCTCAAGGACCAGACCCGTCGCCTCAATCTGCCAGCTTTTTGCTACTGACACCTCCTCCAAGAAGCCTTCCTTCTCCCATCCCATAAACTTCCCTAGCCTCAGATCCGGCTTTGGCCTCCGCAGTGGTCTCTTCCGGCCTCTCTAGGGTCTGTCCCCAACGCTGCCTCTGAGACCTCTTTACAAACACAGATCTCCACCGCCACGTCCCCAGCCCAGGGGCCGCCCCCTCGTTCCCAACATACACAGGCCTCCCTCCGGGCCTGCCGTGCACCCAGCTCCTTCTGGATGCTGCCCCACGCTCCTTCTGCTGCCTCCCACTCCTCCTTGGTGCTCAGCTTACATGGCGCATTCTTAGGGAGGCCTTCTCTGATCCAGGCTGGGTCAGGGCCCATATGCTGCCCCAGAGCCTCCTTTGGGGGCAACTCTCCGGAAGTAATTATGCATTTGTAGGATTGCTCCTCGGTCCCAGCATACAGATAAGGACCATGGACATCTAGCTAGTGCCCAGATCCACAGAATTTAGCACAGTGCCTGGAATCTGACAGGGACTCCCCTGTTTAAAAGCCACTGGCACCTCCCACTGCCCTCTGTTATCAAGTCCAAACATTTGGCCCTTGGCATTCAAGGCATTTCACACTCTGGTCCCTGCTGACCTCTCCACCATCAGGCCTCCCCTAGTAGGTGATTCTGCCATAACCAAATACCCCTGTGCCTTTCAGGTCTCCCAGTGTTTACAGCCTCTGCCTGGAACAATAATACTAACTACCATTTACAGACACCCACTATGTGCAAGGTCCTTTACATACATTATTCTCACCCTTGCAATAGCCCTGAAAAGCAGGTACTGAGATCCCCATTTTCCAGATAATAAATTGAGGCTCAGAAAGGAAATTGATGGCAGACACCAGATTAGAAATTGCTGCCTCTTAGCCACTGGATAGATGCTTGTGGAGTGCTAATGACCCCTCAAAGCAGGGTATACGAAGTAAGGTGGCCTGGTTCCACTAATCACTTGTTCTGTAGCCTTGGACAAGTACTTAACCTCAGTTTCCTCATCTGTAAAATGGGGGTAATCATATCTTCCTCATTTGGACTGTCTAGAGTATTAAATGAGATACTGTGTATAGCTGGCTAGAGTAAGTGGTCAGTAAACATAATCATAGTATAACCATTACTCAACCACCACAGCCTCAGGTCTTCCCTGCCCTTCAATCCCCTGGACTCCCAGATGTCACCTTTATACCCCTGTCACCGAGCTGGTCAGTGTGGCCTGCACAATTGTCTCTCCCAGCAGAGTGGGAGCTCCAAGAGGCTGAGGTGAGGTCTCTTCCCTTCCAGTGTGCCCACCACCTGGCACAGGGCTCCATCCTGAGAAGGACTGAGCAAGTGACTTAGAGAGTAACTGCTCCCCTGTGACAGCCCTTCTCCTGGGCCTCCTAATTAATTGTCTGGAATTACTGCTCGCTCATTGTTTCAGTGGAGCCGACTTGTAATTAATCGGTCACTAGGGTTTGCAGAGTTCTGTCTGCACCGGTCGTTTGGAGCCTCTGGGTTGCTGTAAAGGAACCCAGTGCTTAGATAGCAGAGGCCAGCCAGGCAGGGGTCCCAAGGATGCCCAAAGAATGGTACTGGCTTGACCAATGCCCTGGGTTTGGAGCTTCCAGCAAGGCTGACATTTACCAGTATACACCAGGCAACCACACTTAAGTGGTAAACATGAACATCCATACAGATTAGTTGGTATCCAGCTGCTGCCCAATCCCTGAGTGATCTTCCACCACCCTGGCTACCCCAACCCTTCCACCAGCACCCCCAGAAACCCCCACTATCCATCAACTAGAGAGTTAAGGCCTGGCCCATGGGAGCCATTGATAATCATTAAGTCTTTTCCCTAGTGAGAGACATAGGGAGAGCACCACATCCTAAGGCAGCCCATTCTACTCTAGCTGGAGAGAGCAGACCCAGAAGCCAAAGTCAAGAGTCCACTAGTGGCTGGATGAGTTGGGAGGGGGAGCAGACAGCAGAGCTGAGGGACGAGAAGAGAAAGAATTCAGAGAGGCAGAAGGAAAGGGAGCAAGAGCCTGTACAAAGTGGCACATTCCGAGGATGTTGAAAAGGCCATTCTGGCTGGAGCAGAGAACGTGCAGAGGAGAAAATAATAACTGACAATCACTAATGTTTACTGAGTGCCAGTTATATGCCAGGCCATCTACTAGAGTCTTTATCCTGCTTTATACCCACAATAACCTTGGAAGAAGAAGGGGTTAACACCCTCACTTTATAGGTGAAGAAACAAAGGCTTAGGAAAAAAGTGAACAAGGAACTGGTAGGTAAAATAGGACCAGATCCCTGATGGACCTCAATGCTGCTGAGGGGATGGGCACTCTGGAAGGTTTCTGAAATAAAGCCAACGTACTATGCTTAAATTTGTTCTAAGAAAGGACATTCCTATCAGGTTCTTAAGTCTCCCTGTGAGATTAGCCTCACCATCCCCGTTTTACAGATGAGCAACCGAGGAGTTGAAGCCAACTCCAGAACTGGAAGTCAGACCCCTTTTAAGAGACAGCTCTGAGTGTTGACCAAGTTGAAACTGACTCCACTTAGATGCTGTGTGACCTTGGGCAAGCCACTTCACCTCTCTGAGCCTTATGGGGTTGTTGTAAGGATGCACTGAGCTCATGGGTATAAGCGTCTCACAGTACTAGGCTCTTAGTGGGCTCTCAATCAATTAGTTGGAAGGTGGCTGGGTATCCAGATGGAATGTGGGTGACAGAGCCAGGTGGCCCATTCACAGGCTGTGTGATGTCGGGCAAGTGTCTTTACCTCTCTGAGCATCCGTTTCCTCATGAGTAAATGAGGATCAGTGAAACATAACTGGCCTGTACTCTGCAGAAATGTCAAGTCTTGAAAGACAAAGAAAGGCTGAGGAACTGTTACAGATTAAAGTGGTCTAAAGAGATAGGATGACTAAATGCAACGTGTGATCCTAGACCAGAGCAAAAAACGCTATAAAGAACCTTATTGAGACAGTTGGCAGAATTCAATATGGTCTGTAAGTTAGATAATAGCATTGTTTCTATGTTAAATGTCCTGACTTTGATAATCCGGGGCGGGTTATGTAAGAGAATGTCCTTGTTCTTAGGAAATCTGTCCTGATGTATTCAGGGGTAGAGGGTCATGTTCAGAACAACAAAACATTACACACACACACACACACACACGATGATAAAGCAAATGTGGTAAAATGTTCATTGGTGAAGATGGGTAAAGGGTATGTGGAAGTTTTCTCAACTTTAAATTGGAAATTACTTCCTATTAAAGACTTCTTTAAATGGGTCGTAAGAATAGCACCTGCCACTTGCCTACCCACAAGGGCTGTTGAGAGGGTAAAGAGGGCTAGCAGGTGCAAGCTGCTGGGCCCTGTGCCTGCCATTCTGAGGGGCCCAGGGGCCCACCTGCACGATCTCCAGCATCTCCTCACGGCTGATATAGCCGTTGCCATCCAGGTCGTACATGCTGAAGGCCCACATGAGCTTCTGCTCCAGGCGGCCACGTGAGGTCACACTCAGCGCGATGATGAACTCCCGGAAGTCGATGGTGCCATCGCTGTTGGTGTCAAAGGTGCGGAAGACATGCTCCGCGAACTTGGAGGCGTCACCGTAGGGGAAGAAGTTGGCGTAGATCTTCTTGAACTCATCCACGTTGAGGATGCCCGTGGGGCAGTCCTTGAGGAAGCCCTTGTACCACTCCTGCAGCTCCAGCTCTGAGAACTCTGTATTCTCCCGCAGGTCCTGCAGCATCTCGGGCCGCAGCTTGCTGTTCTGCTTGCCCATGGCCACCGAGCCAAGTCCCACCTGGGTCCCCGAGGGGGTCAAGGGACAAAGAGGAGTGGTCAGGCACTCCTGGCCCCTTGACAACACTCCAGACACCGGCCACTCCAGCCTCTCTTTTGACCCAGTGAGAGAGAGGAGCTGGCCCAAGATCACACAGCTTACATATACCCAGGCACCCTGCCACTGTGTCAGCTCCACACCATTTCCCCAGACCTTCTACTTCCCCAGGGAACAGACCTGGAGACAGAGGAAGAGAAGGGGGCTCACCTTTACTGAGGCCCTTCTCAGTGCCAGCCACTGAGCCTTCCCAGGGTATACCATTTCACCCTCACAAAGTGAAGCCTGAGAATTAGCCCATTTTACAGATGAAAAGGTAGGCTCAAGGAACTGAGGTGACCTGCTTCAGGTCACATAGCCATGAAGTGGCAGGGCTAACTCCCAGAGTTGCCAAGGGAAGTGCAGAAAGGCCCTCTGGTCTTCCTCCCTCCTACCCCCTGCCCCCTTACTGCCTCACATACACCTGCTCACACAAAATACACCTGCAATCCAAACACTGACCTGTTCTGCCTCCCACCATGTGTGCTTGACAAGAGGCAGAATAAGGTAGGTGTTAGCCTGGGCTCCAGAGCCAGATCACATGGGTTTGAATCCCAGCTCTGCTTCTTACCAGCTATGTGACCTTGGGCAAGTTCCTTAAACTCTCTCTGCCTCATCTGTAAAGTGGGGGTAATAGTACCTACCTCATTATTGTTGTGAGGATTAAATTAGTTAATACATATGAAGCACTTAGAAAGATGCCTGCACATATAAGTGCTACCTAAGTGTTAAACAAATTTAAAAGATTTACATGTGTCCAGATGCCAACAGTAAACAAATGAATACATACTGACACATGTTATGCTACACAGCTCACCAAATTCACACATGGATCCCATGCCACTCACATACCAGCACACACCCACCCAGGGTCACCGTGCCTGCACACACGACAACATTCCTTCTGTTCCACAACTCACATGTACTGACACAGCACCATGCACGCACAACTCCCATACCCTGTGCATCGAGACACACCAGCCCACAACCCCACATGTCTCACACATGCCATCACAAGCCAGCTCCCATGCCTACACCTCTCACATGGCCAGCTGCACGTGGGACCCTCAGACACCTTTGCCATCTTTCTTTCTTTACCCAGGGGTGCTGCCAGGTGCCAGGAGAGGGAGCTGCAGCCCTTCTCAGGCTTATGACAGCCCCCTCTTCCAGGGAGACCTCTAGCCAGTCAACCCTCCCCCAACACTTACCTTTCATCTAGTTCAGAAAGGTCCCCTCAGTGCAGGAGGTTAGACTGTGGAGGGCTGAGGGGAAGGTATTGGAAAGGAGACAGCCAGGTGGTCTGGACAGGGATGTAGGGATGTGTGTAGGTGAGTCTCCCCCCAGCTGTGAGACAGAGTGAGGGGGTTATTCCTTGTGTGTGCATGTGCACATGTGGGTGAGCGTGTGTAAGTGCATGTGCTCATGTATGCGTGTGTCCCTGGCTTCTGCCTTGCATTTGTCTCCCCATGTATTTCAATTTATATCTGTGCATGTGCATATATGTGTGTGTGACTAGGTATGCACCCATTACAGTGTGAGGGGCATGTACCTGTGTGGCCATTTGGGGGACCTGTGTGTGTCCTCAGCAGTGTGTCACATGCATGTTTCTGTAAGTTGGTTCCCTTCCTTTCTAAATCAACCTTTTTTGCCCCAGGCTGAGGATCCACTGAACAAGTGTGTGGGAGGGCACTGAGGAAATGCCTGGAGCCGGGGTGGCCGAATGTGTCCCTTAGTCCCCTCCTCAAGGTCCAAGGAACTGGGTCATCTGGGCGGAGGCAGAGAGACGCGCTGGGCAGGAGAGATCTTCTAGTGCCCCCTCCCCCCTGCCACCCTCTGAGTCCGTCCCCCTGCCCCCAGTTGGAAGAACTGGAAACGAGGGAGGTAATAGATTCTGCTGTCTCCGCAAAGACCCCGTCCCCAAAATGGGAAGGACCTAAGCTCGGTCTGAGAAACCCGCCTCGGGGACCCTCTCCAGTCCTCTCCCCAGCTCTCGCCCTGGCCCCCGCCTAAACCCTTTCAGCACTCGGGGAGCGCCAGGCGCGTGGCCCTTCTTGGAGGGGGCGTCCGGAGGCGGCCGGAACGCGACTCCCCAGGCTGGCCACTCGGCGGTCAGGACCCTGGAGAGCGCCAGGCGTTTCCCGGCGGGAGCCCCACTCCCTGAGTCCCCGGAGGGAAAATTCCTGGGAGGCCCGGGAGTGGCGGGGCTGGGGAGCCCTGGACGTGGCCCCCTACCTCCGGGATGCCCCTTCCTCGCACCCCCTGGCCCCGGCCGAGCAGCCCCCACTCACCCAGCGACGCGGAGACACCGACTGCGCAGGGAAGGCGGCGCTGCTGCAGCGCGCGGCGGCAGAGGCGGCCGGAGGGGCGGGCGGGGGGCGGGGGGCGGGACTGCAAGGGAGACGCCCCGCAGCGTTAGCCCGGTGCCCCTCCTCTGGGGGGGGGTCCCCGTTCCTCCCTCTGCCCTAGAGCCCTGATAGTGCGTGGAGCAAAGGGTTAGGCTCCGCCCCCGCCCCTGCCCGGGAGAGGGAAGGGGACGCCCTCACCTCTCCGGCCCCCATCCCGAGGGAGCACCCCGCCTGGGGAGGAAGGCAGAGGTCCCCATCTCCTCAACCTCTCGACTCAGGTAGCCCGAATACGGTGGACGGTGGGGATAGTCAGTGCCCAGACACCTCTTTCCTAAGCCGGGGACAACCCCCGACAGCTCCACCCGCCTGCCTCCCCCATCCCTACCTGGGCTTGGAGCCGCAAGTCACAAGGAGGGCGGAAATCGGATCTTGGGCGCCTCGATATGTACCCTCCCTGCACCTGCGCCTCAACTCCGGATCTAACTGAGCTCTTCAGAGAGGGGGCAGCGCCCACTCCTCCAGTCCCTGAGGTCTTGGGGGGCAGACACGCCCCCTACCCCGCCTCTGCCTTAGAGAGCCCCACCCCCTTTTCCCGCCCGCCACACCGGGTCTCGTGCCCAGGACCTCTCTCAGAATGAATTCCACCTCTTAACGTGGATCTAAATTGCTCTTCCCATTCCCCCCCCACTCCAGTCAAGAAGCCCTCTCCCTCCCTCCCCAGCCTCCCCAGTGCTTGTACTGGGTTGCGATAAGTGAGGGCTGGGGAGCATCTCCACCTGGGGCGTTCTGAGGTGTGTAAGCCCCCTGCCTGCAGACAGGACAGCCCCTTTCCAGAGTCGCTGAACTCTATCAAAGCTTCTCCTGCCAGGATGGGGGCTGCATCCTCCTTCCCACAGCCTCAGCAACAATCCCGACCTCTGGGCTCGAATTTTGCTCTTTCTGTATTTCCGGGGTCGGGGGGGGGGGGGAGGTTGATCCTTATCGTCCCCACTTCACAGATGAGAAAACTGAGGTTCAGAGGGGTTAAATGATTTTTCCAATGTCTGACAGCGAGCGAGAGGGCTTGGATTTGAACCCATGTGTCCTCATCCATTCATTGCACAAACGTTTATCAAGCATTAGTTCTGTGCCCAGCACTGTTCTAGGCAGTGGGGTTACAGGAGTGGACAGTAAGGCATGAATATAATATACAAGTCAGTTCTGTAATGTATTAGATAAGTGTTTTGGGAAAAGTTGAGATCAGTGTGCAGAGGTTGGGATAGTGGCAGTGCTTAGGACCATGCCAAGGACTTTAGATTTTATTCCAGGTGAGATGGGAAGCTCTTGGGGCTTTGAGCAGACTGGAAGCTTACTCAGATATTCTGTCCTCAACTGACTTTGAGGAGTGGGGTCCAGGATGGGATCAGGGGACCCTCTCAGGAGGTGACCAGGGTGGCAGAGATGGGTCTGGCTTCTGGACCTACTTTGAAGGTGAGCTGACAGAACTTGTCATCTGACTGGACAGCTCCTCCCACTTCCTTGGCAGCAGGTAGGACCCTCATGACTCCCTAGGGCTCAGACCTCCAGGTTCTCAGACCAAGCCTCTCAGGTAGTCCAAATCCAGCCTTAGTCTCTCCTGCTAGAGGACAAGCGGGGAGTCTCAACTGGAGAAACTGGGGAGCCAGGCCGTTGTGGGTGAGGGCAGCTGGACCCTCCAGAACATTAGTTCCTCTCTGTACCTTGGCTCTGGTGTTGGGACCCCCAGGGAGGCGCCAGACGTGTGTGGGTGGTTCCCAGCTGCCTCCTGCAAGAGGACCTGGGGGTGGGGAGAGACTTGCCGCTCAGGCCCCTTGAGTGACAAGCTCCCGCCCCTCTCCCCCCAGGTCTGGAAGGCCGGCCGGCTCGGCTTGGGGCTGGGAGAGGGACCTGCCCTTGGGTCCTCCTCACCCTCCTCCTCTTACCTCTACACCCTGCCAGCAGCCTGAGAATCTTCCCAGCCAGATCTGGATCCTCCTCTCCATCCTTGTGGGGTCTCAGTTTTCCCTCACGGGGGACTGCTCAGCCACTCTGCTTCCTCCTGCTTTCCCCCCTCCCCCGCCAGCTTCACCTCCTGTGGGCTGACTCCTTGGTTCAGCCTCAGGGGAGCCTACTTCCCCCACCCCACTGTTCTTCTTCTCTGTGCGAGTGACTCTGATGCCCTGCCCTCAGGACCCCCAGTCTGCATTTCTGTCTCCCCAATAGATGGGGCTTCTGAAGACAAGGCTATGTCTTATCCTCACCCTGGGTACCCCACATCCCTTTGACTTTCCATACCTCAGATGAGGAGGGTGGATGGTGGGGACAGGGCAGAGTTTTGGCTCTGGGAGCTCTGCTGATTACTTCCCATCAGCCACCTCTCCTCTCCTGGGGGCCTAAGAAGCACTGGGAGCCAACCTGAGCCAAAGGGGAAGGCTTGGGCCTCCCCATACTGTACCCCAAGGCCATTGGCCCACGAGGTATAGCCCAGAAAAGGGGGGCAGAGGGCAGTTGTCAGGAGGCCTGGGTCCCTCACTTTGAACAACCTGGAGCAAGTCTCTTCCCCTTTGTGAGGAGAAAGGTTAGACAGGTGACCTGGGTGATCTGACATCCCCTATCAAAAACCCTAACCAGAGCACAGACCAGACAGGCCTCACTTACTGCCTCACTGGCCCCTGGGGGAGTGTGGGGATGTGAGTTTTACATAGATGAGATCCCAGTGGCCCCGGAGCCCTGCAGATTTGGATTCTGTGAAGGCCTGTTGCAGGGGTGGAGGTGAGGGGTGCCCTTGCTGATGATACTCAGCGCCCCCCCCGCAACCCAGACTGAGGCATGTCTAGGAGGGAGAGAAATGCAGAAGCGAGTTATTGAGAGAATCAAGCGAGGGATGAGTGGAGAGGGGACTGCATAGCTCTTGAGCACCTACTGTGTGCAGAGTGCTTTGCCTATGTCACCTCCTTTGATCCAAACTAATCCTGAGGAGGCAGTAATGTGAATGCCATTTTACAGATGTGAAGACTGAGGCCCAGAGAAGTGAAGTCACCTGTCTGAGGTAATACAGCAAGAGAGTGACAGAGCCAGAATTTGAACCCAGTTCCATGTGACTCAGGAGCCCAGGCCCCTCTCTGGAACCTCTCAGTGAGGTAGGTGGACGTAGCCCCTCCCCATCCCCCTCAGAGGCACAGCCCCCAGCCTCCCTCTTAGGTCCCAAATGGTTTGGAAAATCCTGATGGGAGCAGATGGTGGGGACAGATGGAGGGAAAAGCATCTCAGGGCTGAATTACACAAACAAACATTGATAAAGTGATTAAAACCTCAAGCCACCCCTTTCCAAAGGGCCCTGCCCACCCCAGCCTGGAGCACAATGGACCCAGAGGTGGAGACCTGGGGGTCTCTGAATGCCCAGCGTCTTAGCCCAACTGATCCCAGCTTCTGCTCACCTCCCTCACTGCCGGGGACCACCCCCGGACCAGAGCCCAGGGCGGCAGAGCTGCCAGGAGCACAGCCGGGAGGGGGAGGGGGTGGGCCTGGCTGTTCCCGAGGGAGCTGGGCTGAGAGGAACAGAAAGAGGGGAGGGTGGGGAGGGTGGGTAAGTCCTGGGAGCTGGGAACGCAGACCTGAAGTCAGTGGCGGGCATGGGCGTGTTGCGGTAGGGCTGGCATCCCTCAGAGCAAGCCTCACTTTACAGATGGGGCTCAGCTCCCACTGAGCAGGGCCAAACCCTGTCCCACCACCCACCCCCGTGGTGGAGGGGGGCAAGGCCCTTCACTTGCAGAAGGTCTGGTCGGTTTCTCCATCTGTAAAATGGAAACTATAATATTAGCACCTCCCTGGAAGGGGCTTGTGAGGATTAAGTGAGATGGAGCCTGTAAAGTTCAGGGCACTGGGCACTCCAGGCTGCTAATAGGGCCTCCCTGCTGTAGGAGGATCAGGAAGGCCGGGGCTGGTTGGACAGTGTCCCTCTGCAGAGCAGCAGTCGGGGCTTGGAGATCCCGCCGCAAGAGCCCCTGCGGCTGCCGGGCTCTGCAGCAGGGGGA